GCACCGCATTTCATCAGGACAATCGAAACGCGAGACGCCCATCTTTCACAATGGGTGACCTTGTCTTGGACCCGCCGGATTCCATCTCCTGAGTGTTCCTCGAACGCGGGACGCCTTGACTACCTCAATGGACATAACAATGGTCCCAACTTCTCATCTTGTCCATTTGGCAGCTCGCAGCTTGATGCAACATGATAGGGGCGACGCGTCGGTTCGTCATTCTTTATTGCGGAGTAGCTGTTCGCTAACGTCAAAGCTTTCTATATGCATAGCAATCCCCGTCACTCTCTCAAGGGTAAACGGTAAAAGCTAGTTCCAGATTTACTGCTAATCTGCGTATGAGACGTCATGATCGTCTGCGTGACAAATATGCCACATCCAAAAGTCTCTGTCTCACTTCCAACTCACTTCATTCTTCCCTTTACGCGTGAAAGACTCAGCACATGAGACTGTTCCGGCTGCAAGAAATCTCTGTGGAGTAACATCGGACGATGTTTGCAACCTTGACGGGCAATGAAAACTTCCATGCTTGTAGCTGGAGCCCGGAGCCTTGCCCGAAGCCATCTTGACGCGTGACGTCGCGGCAACCCGAACTCCCGACTTCAATACTTCACATGAGACGGAGATGGTGCGTGACAATGTTCCGCTGGCGCTTTCTCGAGTTTCTGTGCAACTTCCACCCCAAGTACCCGCTTGTCTCGACAGACTCTCACCGTCTCCGGCCATCAGACGGTATTTTTACGCCATCGGCGGTTTTTTATCCCATGTATCCCGGGCGCCTGCATCTTTTCTCATGGATACAATCGATGCCTCCTGGAAGGATTGGATAGAGACGCTTTATGGCATGCAGGTCCGGTGCTTTCTTGTTGTTGATGTAGTGGGTCCAGGGCCCCTTGTAATCCTCGATGACCTTCTTTTCCTCGGTGAGTGCAGAAAGACTACACAGAATGTGTGTCGCTGACCCTTAGTAGAGCAATGGGGAAGCGAGTGGACTTTGAGCTCCCATACCGACCTGCGCGGAAGCTGAAGGTGTTGGACTTGATCCTTCGGGGATTGTCGGCCAACGGTGCGATCACAAAATCTACATATTTTTCCATTCTTTGTGAGCCTTTCCATCATACTTTTCTTTCTTCGCTGACCCGCTACTTACGCCCTTACAGCACCGGGTAGAAATCAGAAGGGAGGCAGCAGGTGAAAAATTAGCGGGACCTAACCTTCTTAAATCAGAGCGCCCTCCGAGGGCGGCGGAGCGTAACCAATCAGGCTCCGCCAATGACCCGTGGGGCTGTTTCTGGCGCCCATCAAGGTTTCCGAACCTCGTTTCTTTGCCAGTAGCGGTGGCCTCTCGGTCTACATCAGACGAACCCTTTGTCTGATCACGCTATCATACCTCACAAACAACGTCTACTTGACTTTCACCGGGGTGCCCGTATGAGAGCTTTCTCCGAGGGACAATTAGCTTTGCGCTACATCCACTCCTCCCCTTCATTACGGCTTCGCAAAAGCTATCGATAACTGCGTGCGCCACTTGACGTCCTTCACCCGATGGCCCTATCCCTTTCATTCACGAATGCCTCGTGTAGTGCGGCCCTCGTGGTTCACGGTGTCGCCATCGTACGTTGTGACCTCATTGGTTCTTCCCAGCCTTTCCGGAGACTGATACGGGTCACAGCCAGGCTAATGGAAGCTCCCCTTCCACATTTGCATGGTATTCTGAGGGAGACGGAAGCTAAGGGACCATCTCAGATCTGACCGGCGTGAATAAATCGCCGCCAAGCATATGCTGCTCATTTGTGCATGACCGTGTAGATACTGGCTTGCATTCAAATGCATGTTCTTTTTCCTCGAAGATCCACAATACGTTCTCAATCGTGTCATCCACGCCCTTCTTCTGATGCAAACCAGCTACTTTTGGCAGCATTCCAATCGATTCAAGCATGCCTTCTGACGGCTGTCGTCCATTCCCCGAGTCTATAAAGTAGACCCACTGTGGAACATTCCAGTCAGTTGTCCAAGCGTTCCATTCGTTGTTCGCGCTGCTGATACCAATGTCGCTCGTGAAGCTACCTTTCCTTATCCTGGACGCGATAAACATGCGCCTGAACGCGACTCCGCCGAATCCTCCTGTCCCTCTCTGTGAGAACATCATTCCGGACTGGAGGGAGCGATTCCTGAAGTCTCTCGCGATTCCGTCGCGCCTTCTCAGGGTCGGTCGTCACTCATGCACCCTTTCCGGACTATATACTTATCTTTCATAGGCATTGTATTGGACGGTTTGCTTCGTGGAAATACTGGTGATAATAGCCAGTCAGCTTTCACCGAATATTGTCTCGAAACACGTCCTCGAGACCTTCATTCTCAATCATTCATCCCCTCTACGTATACGCATCACCCCTCTCTTCGTCTTGGGTAACGTACTCGGCATATGTGGAACTGCTCTCCGTCTTCAAAGTTTCCGCACCCTCGGGTGTCTATTCACCTTCGAGCTGTGTATTCTGAAGAACCATAGGCTCGTCATCGATGGACCGTACGCGATTATTCGACACCCGAGCTACACAGGTCTGATACTTACCATCGTGGGTTATTACTGCAACCATGCGTCGGGGTCCTGGTTGAAGGAGTGTGGCCTGCTCGAAACGATACCTGGAAGACTTATGCTTTGTGTGTGGTCGACCATCGCAGCCGCGGTCGTCGCCAGCCTGTTGCTTCGTGTTCCCAGGGAGGATCAAATTTTACGGATGAAATTCGGAGAAGAGTGGGAGATGTGGGCGGAGAGGGTTCCGTACAGACTGGTTCCTGGAATATACTAGGTGAATGTCAATGCGATTGCGCCCCGTGCGTCTTAAATTATCACACTGCAAGGGGTTAAGGTACGATTAGTTCTCCTCCAACGAGATTGTACCGGATCTCAGTTCTTCTATTCTATGGATCCCATCATGGGTGGACCGACGAAGTCGAGGGCTGCCGAGATGATATCGAGTCGAAGCATGGATTCAAGCTATTTTTGGGTTCGTTTCGGCATCAAGGGTTTCTCGGAGGTCCATGCAGCAGGCCTGTTTTATCTATCGCAGGAATGATAACACGATCGTGGGGCATACATGGATGCTCATATATATGCAACACGAAGATGAGCCATGCCTCGCATGCGTCGAGTGTGGTGATCATCTCAACTCTCACACCTAGCAAACCTTCATCGTCTGCGTCTGCGCAGATGCGCGAGCCCGATTGCAGATGGACGTTTGGATGGGATACCTCTCACCAAAAGGAATGACGAAAAATGCGACATAAGGCTACGCGAGAACATCCGTGTGTCTTGAGAAGACTTCCAGTTGGACAACCAGGGGATATTGCTGATGGTGGAATTCAATACACACACATGTACTTGACATGTACGTACGAAAACGCATAGACGCGTGTGCCTTGAGTCAGAGTGGATACTTTCTGCACAGTTGAGGAGAATGAAAAGGCTACTTTCGAGTGACTAGTTTCATGGGAGTACATAGTCGTTGCTGAGATTCCGAGCCGCCGACTTTTCAGAAGGGTTCAGCATGATCGGCCCGGAGCAGCCCGCCATGTGAAACGGATCACGAGTGTGTAGCCCCGTGTCTCCTGCCACCAACCTGCCACCGACGTACACAGTGCACGTTCGCGATCGCCGCTGTTGACGTATTTCCGACGTTACTTGATGTCTTTACTGAAACTTCCACTACTGGCGTCTGTAGCATGGGCCACGCACACGACGATGACTGCTCCCAACCCGCCTCCAAGTGCTGACGAACGTCTTCCACCCACGGGGCTCGAGCATCTCGCTGCGGTCGTTCCACCCATATCCAAGGTCCGTGGGCATCAGGCTGGCCAGATGCTATAGTTCATACAGCTTCGAACGCGAGCTAACATTGAGGAATGCTACTCGACTCATCTACGCCAGATATTCTTCTGGTCTGCGACTCTTGCTGAGATGGGGGTGATGCTCGCCAACTACCTCGACGGCACGCGCAGCTTTTCCCAGCACATCCTCCGGCTCCTCGTACGCACGGAACAACCAGAAACACCAAACCTCCGCATCACTTTCCCCTTTCTCGTTGGGTGGTCTCTAGCGCTCCTGGGTGCGCTCCTGCGGCAGCACTGCTACCGCACCCTCGGCAGGCAGTTCACCTTCGAGCTCAGCATCCGCAGAGACCACCATCTCGTCACGCAGGGCCCAGACGCGTATGTACGGCATCCAAGCTACGCAGGCGCCCTTCTGGCGGGCGGTGGGGGATTGCTGTGCCTGGTGGCTCCTGGCTCGTGGTTGAGGGAGTGCTCGGGCCTCTGGTTGGACGAATGGAACAAGTTGGGTGTTGTTGTCGGTGCCATCGCGTTGGGTGCTGCCTTGGTTGCTCGCGCGGTGGTGGGGAGGATGGAGAGGGAGGATGCGATGCTGCGGGCACAGTTTGGGGAGGAATGGGAGCGGTGGGCGAAGGATGTGCCTTGGAAGCTTATTCCGTATGTATACTAGATTCGAGGCATAGATTAACTGTGAGCCCTGAGGCATAACAAAAAAGTAATTCGGGTACGGGGAATCGAACCCCGAGCTGCCGCGTATCTTTAGCAAGGGGATTTGAGAGGCGGCAATGTTAGCCGTTACACCATACCCGATGATGTATTGAATAGCCTCGAGGTGTTCTCGTGCCTGATCCGGTGCAGGAAAGTTCTATTCTATTTTCGCGATGAGTCGAATTCGAGGGCAGTTATGGAACCATCACGCCCACTTGGAGCAAAGCAGGTTTGCGATCTAATACTTTGAGAAATATGCCCGCAGCAGTGAACTACTGCACCCTCCTCGCGGCTCGACAAAGTGAACGTTCGTACCAAGGACAAAGTCGCGCTGCCTGACACATGCACACCTAACTAACAAATTACAATACACAATCAGGCTTCAGCTCAGAGCTTCAGTCATTCGAGTCTATCGTTGACTCGAAATGTAGGGAAAGATCCAAAAAGGACAATCTAATGTTGAGTTCCGGTACGGGGAATCGAACCCCGAGCTGCCGCGTCCACCTGCACATATCTTAATGAAAGGCGGCAATGTTAGCCGTTACACCATACCGGATGCTGGGAAGCTGTTACCCATACGCTGCAGATTAACAGGATGAGGGAAGCCAGGCTCTGAGAGCCGTGAATTCGACGGAGGTTCTAGCCTGTGTCGGGTGTGAGCGCCTCAAGCACCCAAGTTTCATTGGACGCCTTCACACCAGTATATCTACGGCTATGCTGGGAACGAAGTACTCTTCCCTGTCTACGGTTTTGAAGCAACAGCCGCAGCAGGGCTTTTTGCACTCAATAAAAAGGTACATACTAGTCGCTCACACCTTCCGCGGAAATATCTCGACGGCCAGAGTCTCACCACATCAGGTCCACGGGCCGATCCTGGTAAAAAACGGCGTTTGGGATGGTAGTGGACTTGCAAAGGATCGACCATGACAGTTGTGCCTTTTTAAATCAAATCCGAGGAGACACACGGTATCTTAAGAATTTGAGGGTACATGGTATGCAGGCTAGGCTTACACGGCCTCTCAGCCATGCGTGCGATTTCGAAAGAGGATGAAGCAAGCTGGGTAGATCATGACAGAGGAGGGGGGAAATTTGAGGGGATTCGGAGATCGGCGACGGCTGCAATTCCAACCACGTGGCATCGGCGACACGGCTGCAGCCGTTGTCAATGTTCAACTTGCCCATCGTCATCAACTTTCAATGACCAGCTCGACGCGACCGACGGTTGAGCTCAAAGGATCTACCGACCATTCACCCCACCTCAAAATCCCCTGCTCATGCAACAACGGGTCTCCTACCTCTCGCGACGCCTTCACAGGTTCCAGGCTCCCCACAGCCTCCACCTCCGTACATCATCCTATCAAATCGTGACAGGCCTCCCAAATCTGGACGTACACAGTTCAACAAACCCTCCTCGACCATGCAATTAGCCATCAACTGGAACTTCAATGTCTCACAATGGTTGCTTTTCGGCACAAAATGACCCGTATGGGTGAGTCTCTCGTTCGTCTACGTCAACATGGTGGCTGAACGTGTAGTTATAGGTTATATACATATTGGCGCACGTCAGGAACGACTGGTGGACACGCCACCCGACTGTTATACTCCGACGGTTCGACTGCGAAGAGGTCGAGGTCCGCCAGCGCGGCGCTCAGCTTTCGGGGGGCTTCTCATGCGTTCACAAGCGCAGGCGGAAACTTCGATGTACTTGAAGGTATGCACCAACTTATTGACCAGCCTTACATAACGGAAGCTCACCCACCTTTTATAGAAAACGCCTCAAACCCACTTCGCCATCTTCCAGACTTCCAGCGAAGTCTCTCCGCTATCGTCCCCGAGCTCAAGCCCGAGCCGTACGTACATCCTCTCTTTTGCGACTCACGTCCTTGACTCACGGTGCCTTCCTCACTTCTAGCCCATTCTCCCTCCAGCTTTGCAGCAAGTTCCGGTCGACAGGTAGAGGCGCCTCGGCCTAGGCTGTACTCGGAAACGAGTCAGGAGGGCTGGATTGTGGGGCGGCGCAGGTTCAGATGTCGAGGTGCTTCCGTCCACAAGAAGGAGTAAAACGATGTACGGCAGAGTGAGCGCTCACGGCGGGGTGTCAGTATGGGATGGGCATGGGCATGGGCGTCTATACATGATATCCTGCCGACGTAAAAGTCGAGGAGCAACGATGGGTTTGCTATTCGTCCAGGTATGCATGCCTTCCCCGAGGTTCCATTCATGCTAACTCTCTATTTTCTATTGAGATCATGATCCATCGCAAGAACAGGGTTGATGGACGGGAAAGGCGGGAGACGACAAGGTCAACATGGGTATACATGCCCGCGTGCCATGCCGGCTACAAGGCTGAAACTTTCTGGGCCCTTCTCTAGCTTCTTCACCTTCCCAGGCGCGCTTGGAGCTTGCATAAACGGGTATATAGGAGGAGAGGAGGGAAGTTGGGATACGTCATGCATCCCTTGTTCGTTCCGCCATCCCGGTCCTTGGTCCACTTCATCCATCCTCCGAGATATCTCGTCGCCTCCAACTTCTACATGTCCTACAAATCTATTTGTATCAGACCATTGCGTCCTAGAATAGGAAGTGTCTTATACGACGCGTCGATGTTTTGGTACAGTTATACCACCATTTCCTTGGCTCGAACCGCGACGAGGCATCGAACGGGACATACCACAGTCCGTCGACCCTCGCAGACGCGTCTTCGACAATGTACATGTCAGTCCCAGCGTACTTTCCCAGTAAACACACCCTGGAAATCGCGGGAATATCCTCATGACAAGCCTAGAGTCATCGCCCAGGGAGCACGTTGTAGACCTCTCTATCGAAGTTGGCGCAATGGAGAAGTGTTAACCTACAAGACGAACTGACTCTGGTCCCATGTATCTCACTGAATGAGCCTCTATCGATAGTTAAGTCCATATAGCCATCAAGGACTATAGGCTGAGAGACGTCGAGAGCGTGCTGGTGGTGTGAAGCACTGACTGTTGAGGCTGGGTCCTCTGATTCGTGTAAATCGCAGAACGCGGTTAAATGCATATACTAACAGACGCCCAGCCAGCGATATGGAGTAAGTCACATTCGGACATCGCGCGTGGTTTGGGATTGGGAGAAGGAGTTGTGCCAAAAACCACTTCAAGTCTGGCCCGGCCCGGCAACTGCGCAGCACGTGACTGCCAACGACGGGTAAACCGCGTTGGTCGTCGTCTCAGGCAACGACGACGGCATGGAAAAGTTTGCGACGCTAGAGCCCGTCCGACTGTATGCGTCCTCCGGTGCCCGCCTCTTATCCCGCAGCGGCCATGCTACGACCAAACCCCCGCCGCCCCCCATCTTGATCGGCCGACTCCCCGTTGACCTGCACCAGCTCGTGCTCTCCTTCCTCCCGATCACTGACGTTCCTGCCTACGCGCGATCGTCTAGGGCGCTCAATGCTCTTGTAAAGGAGGAGAAATTTTGGGAGGCGAGGTGGCTTTCGCTAGGGGTGGAGCAGTATAACTTGGGCTCAGTGCTCGACGCACTCGAAGCCGCACAGAAGGGCCAGGCTGGGGTTACGCGGGCTGCGCTTCCTCCAACGCTGTCCGTGTCCAACGATCTAGACGATTTCGGCGACTTTGCAGCTGTAGACACCGCTGCTGCAGGGGAGTACGGCGACTTCGTCGGCTCCCCGCCCGTCTCCCTCTCATTCTCCACGGCAGCAGCCACAGCAGCCCCCACCAAACGCGCCTTCTACATCCGCGCACACACCCTGCTCAAACCTCTCGCCCAAACCCTCGGCTCAACACCCCCGCACCTCGTCCTCTCCGCCCTCTCCACCTTCCTCGCCACCGCCCCGGCCCCGGCCCCAGCGCTCTCCCCGCCCTCATCCTCCTCCAGCACCGGTGGTGCCGCCCCGGACATCCCCCTCCGCACCCGCGCCAAAACACTACACCTCCTCGCCCTCTTCCTCTCCCCCCCAATCCAGCCCCTGCGCGCCTGGCGCCCCTTATCCTCTGCCCTCCGCGCCGCGACGGACCGCTTCGACGCGAGCATGCTCGCGGCGTTTGATGGCGCGGACGGGCGCGGGGACGAGGTGGGGATGCGGGAGGCGGCGGAGGCGAGCTGGGAGGTGTGGGCGGGGACGGGCGGGGTGGTGGGGGAGTGGGAGATGGGGAAGGTGTGGGCGGAGAAGAGGGAGATTTTTTATGTGCAGGGGAGGTGGGATCCTATGGGGAATTTTACGGAGGACGGGGCGTTGGATTTTGATGCGATGGATGAGTTTATGGGTGTGGTACTGGAGGCGATCGAGGAGCACGGTGCGAGGGCCGTTCGTGTGTTCCCCCCGGCGTCGCAAGTCCTGCTCGGCTTCGCCGAACGTGTCGCAGGTGAAGTGGTACGTCCCTTCCTCCATCTCCCACTCACCCTGTCCTTTTTCTCACTCACCGTACCTAAAGGTCGGAGAATATATAACGTCCCTACTTACACGCGCCCGGGCTGCCCCAGCGTCTGCTGTGTTCCTCCAAGCCACGGCGGCGTCGTTCAAGGAGGCGTGGCGGATGGTGGATGCTATCGTGCGTGCCGCCGGAGCGAGAGAGCGCGAGGGAGATGCGGGTGGGGAGAAACCAGTCAGCGCGGAGGAAGTCATTGGCCGGACACGAGCGGAGGATGTCGCGTGAGTCCCCCTCACACTACTGCATATACACTATTCATATCTTTTTTACGCTACAGGTACCAGATGTTCGAGAGCAACATGGACGAATACCTCGACGAGGAAATCGAGTCCGTCAAACATATATTCGACACGATATGTAGAGACTGGGATCGGCAGGTTCGTTCCATCCCTTCTCCCCCTTCCTTCCTTCCACCCTAACCTCAAACTCTCCCAACAGCTATCAACATACGCCCCCACCTCCCTTACCCCCACCCCCTCCTCCTCCTCTGCCGCCAACCCAAACCCAAACTCCCACCCCACCCCCAATCAAACTCACCAACCCCGCTTCCTAACCTCCCAAAACCCAACCCAAATGAAACGCAACGTCCTCGCCTCCTTCACCAGCGTCCTCCTCCTCCCCGTGGCCATCGTACCGCGGATGGGCGGGGCGATCGTGAGTGGGGGGACGGCGGCGGTGCAGGGGATTGCGATGCTTAATCCTGCACGGTGGGGTGGGGTTCGGACCGGGAGGGGAGGAGGTGGGGTGAGTAAGACTGGATGGGGGGTAGGTGGGGGAGGGGGAGGGGGAGGGGGCGTGGAGAAAGTGACGGGGACTGGGGAGAAGGGGGAGGGGGGGATGGTTTTTGAGGTTGGGGAGGATGAGGAGGATGGGGATGAGAAAAGGGTGGGGGAGGAGAGGGAGGAGGATCCGTGGGGCGGGGATGATATTGGCTCGGGCTCAAAGAATCAGAGTGCTCGTGGTACGTCTCTCCCTCCGCCGTGTATATGCGGCGTGCTAACCCCAATCCCCATTCATAGCATCCCGCACCTCCCTCCCCACCACTTCCACCTCAACACCACGCACGCAAACCCCCACCCCCGCCCCTCTTCCCGCCCCCACAGAAAACAAGCTCGAGCTCCTACTCTCC